GTTGAGAGCCACAGAAAACATGATCACAGGAGTAGCGGTTTGGTGTTAATCTCGGCAATATGGCAAAGACAAAGCCTCCAAACCCAGTTTTCATATGCCTGCAACTGGTGGAAATGCTGAAAGCACAGGCTTATGCACATGCATTGTCATAAATGTCTGACACCCTCTCCAGCTTTGGAATGTCCCATGCTTGTTTTTAATGGCCAGTCGTGTGCCTCCAGGAGCACCGAAACATCAGAGCTTACAAACTCTCGGGACATGGCACCGAAAAGGGGGCGGACCAGAAAGCAATGCATAACCTGCGGCCCTGCAGGAAAACCAGGTCCAACTGAAACAATGACACCGGTGACCTGAGCATTTGCTTTGATGGTCGCCCTAAGCCACTCTAGGTCACCCCGAAAAATGCCGTCTTCCCCTGCAAAGGCAAAGCAATACTTCTTCAATACCTTAAAATTGACCTTCTAGGCTTGCAGGACCAGAGTTGCGCTCCAAAACGGGGCAGCTCTTGTTTTTTGCAGCGAAACAATTTTGCAATCGAGCTCCATTCTCCATGCAATGTATCCTAGGGTTCGTGGTCCACGTTCTGTTTTCCAAAGGTGACCTTGCCCCTGCTGTGGTTTTATTGAAGTATTGTGAAGTTGTCCCATTGTCTGCCGTCTACCCGGTATTCAATCAAAGAGTCTTGAAACCACTTCGGCATGCCACAAACGGAACATCGTCAAAGCCAAAAGCAAACGGATTCGTCATCATGTTACCTTTCTTGTACCTGTGGGCCTGTGGACTGTGGACATGAGGCACTCATTTACTTGTCTGACATGTTGCGCCACAGATCCTTAAAACAGACTATCACAAGAGACTCAATAGAGTGGACTGAAGCCACACCACTGCCACAGCAATCCTAAACCAAGAGTTGAGGGTTCCCCAAAATATAATACGCAATGCTTTGGACATATGCTCTTGTCACAAGGATGCTCTTGAGTGACGCAAACACCCCAGGTTCACAGCACCACTCTTGGCCTTGTGGACAGGCTGTGCTGCAAAAGCCTTGGCTGGCCAGAAATCATGTCGTGTCAGTTGGCTGTGTCTGCTTGTTGCGCGAGGGCGGCTATTCTTGCTTTGCCTTGTTTGAGGCCGCTTTGAAGCTCTTCAGATTTAAGCGTCAACAGCAGCAGGGAACGCACACACACACATGACCACGACACCTGATGTTTGAAGACTCAAAATCTACAAGCCTGAAGGGGGAACTAGAAAGTTAACTACTAAAAGAGGTAACAACAACTTCGATGAAAAGAGAAAAGCAAACCTGAGAGGTAGCAAACGAAAGCTAGGGTCTCTCTTTTTGTTCCGCCCGTGCGAGCTGCGGCAGAGCGGGAGCCCAGCCAAGTTGTTTGAAAATATTTGCGAATGGCACACTGTCAGAATAACGTGCAAGAGGGTCTAAACCACACTGGTCTAGAGCGCTACTAAACCTATCCCTTTTTGTAATTGTAGTAAATGTCCACCTGCATGCAAATGAGCCCACGGAGCGGCAAATCAGTAGAACTGCAAAACATCAAAGCATCAGACGTAACCGTAGTTCTTTCTGCGAACGTAGTGAGACGACGGCGGCAAATCAGTAGAACTGCACTACACCAAAGCATCAGACATAACCGTAGTTCTGCCAGTTCTGCCAAAAAAACAATACGAAATCCCTGTATGCTGCACCCTGTCTCTCTCTCTCTCAGAGTAGAGTAGAGTAGAGTAGAGTAGAGTAGAGTACAGTGGGCGGCGAGGTTTTTTCACTTTCGTGCTCATGTCAAGACAAGCTAGGATAGAACGAGAAAGGAACGATGTTCTGTCGTGCTTTCAGCAAGTACTCATGACAAGACAAAGCGGGAACGCCAATCGCAAAAACAAAGACAATACGAAATCCCTGTATGCTGCATCCTCTCTCTCTCTCTCTCTCCCTCTCTCTGTGTCAGAAAGTTGGAGTATAGTAGAATAGAGTAGAGTACAGTGGGCCTTCCGATTGTTTCACGTGCTCACATTCCAAAACCTGTATTTACGATATGTTTTCCAACTTGCAGGCACACAAACACA